GCCACTGCCAATTATTCTCCTGTCTAAGACAGTCTGCATGAGATGGGCAGGAGTGAAACTGCCCTGCTCAGTTCACCCTCGGGGAACAGATTATAACACAATTTAGGAGTGAAGGAGATAACTAGACAGATGGGGGTCCTGTGGTAGCTTGGCATAGAGTATTGTTCCTTCAGTTTGCTCTGTTTCTTATTTCAATCTTGCTCCATTTTGGAAAGGAGATCGGGGCGGAAATAAAAGAGCACAATGTTGCTGAGTCCTCTGGGGCCGGAGTATGGAGAGGTGTGGGAAATCCCAACTGTATTGTCTCTGTCCTGCAAGGTGCCTGTGACTAATCATTTGAAATACAAAGCTACGGAGAATGCATATTTTATGAGGCTGTAAGAGACCAAAGGAAGCAAAACTTGGAAAAACAAGACTGGTTTCCCTAATCACTTAGAAGGTTGCTGTCAGGCTAGAACTCCCATGTTAAAAAACCTTGTGTTAGGGATAAACGGATAAAGCACCAACACACCCTGTCCTTGAGTTTGGCATTTACAGCACTGCAGTAGAATGGGGAAATGTGCCCCAAATGCCTCTTTTTGCTTAAGGATTTAAAAAAAAAATAATCGTGGAATCGTTTGGGCTGTTCTTCAGTTGTTTTCCAAAACAGCCCGTGCAGGCCAGAAATAAAGGAACGCCTCAACAAAATCCCCCACGCAAACATTTTCTTAATAGCAAAATATTATTAGCATCTAGGGTTGCCAACTGCATTTGCATCTATTCTGGGAGGTTTCTGGAACGCCACCGTGCCCGCGACACAACACGAACATGCCCACGTGGTTGCGTATATCATTTATGGATTACGGTGCATAGACTTTACATCAGGAAGGCAAACGCATGTGACTATTTAAAAAAAACCACCAGACTGCTGTATAAATCAGATTCAACATTTAATATTTATTTTCATGACTGCCCTATCATTTCATCTCCCCGGTGACTCTCATCAGTCTCCTGCAGAGTTATATCCAATTCCTGGAGACTCCAGGGTGATCCTGGAGGGTTGGTAACCCTACATAGCAGGGATGGGCAATTATTTTGGGCAGAGGGCCGCTTACTGAGTTTTGGCAAACCCATCGAGGGCCATGTGACAGGCAGCCAGGGGCAGATAAATATTAATTTTCTAAATTTTTTAGGGGCCCCGTGGGCTGTATAGAATGGCCTGGTGGGCTATATTTGGCCCACGGGCCACATTTTGCCCACCCCTGCTATAAAGCATCACAGTGGAGCCAAAATGGCCCCAGCTGAGAAGATCGGGGCCTTACTATTCAAAGTGCTGTACATGAATGTGGTGACAGGCTCTGCCCTAAAACAGACCAGATGAATTAGGGTCTGTACACACCAAATTGCTCTAGTTTAATTAAAGGTATCATTGTAAATCCATTCATCCAGACCAGCGCACATGTTGCTTGTCAATGTTTTTATCTAGGCTTAACCGAAGTTTACTAGGAGCCAGTTAAAGCTAAATCAAAATCATTGTCCAGAGAAGGAGTTGCACCAGTAAAGCTATATAGCACCAGAGGCTTAAGTTTGGTTAAACATGTGCAACTTCCTCATACATATCATCTAGTTAATTAATTAGGCCTGGGTTCAGCTAGTGCAGCTTTGTGTATGGACCCTTAAACCAGCATAGCCAGTTCTGAGCAAATCTGCATGTATTACTCTGGGGCGTGCATTGATTTAGCTAAGCTGGTTCGGGAATGTGTGCAGGCAGGTTCAAACTGTGGCGGGAAAGCTGGGAGCAGGACAAAAGGCTTTGAGGTTGTAGCCATGTGGGCTGGTGTCAGGGCAGTGCAAGTGGGGCAGTTCGGGGCCCCGACTATAATGCAACGAGGTGAAACAGTCTGGAGCAGTCTCAAGGCTGCTGGGGTGTGGATGTCCCCAAACGTTGACACAGGGCCCCCAAAAGGCAATTGTGCCCCGGGGGCCCTGCCAGAGCCACTAGGCCATGCTGCCTCTCCTATGATGAATCCTCCACCTATCAGAACATGGGAGTGGCCAGTGGGTGGCAAGCTCCACGCACCCCCGGATGCAGTCCGAGTCCTGGAAGCGGGTGCGGACGCCTGCAAGACCCCTCCCTGCCCTGTAACACTGGGCAGTTGTGGTATTTGAGTGGGCGTCTTCCTTTCCAATTCAGCTTCCACAGGACAGCAGTGGAGACGCACACATAGTGGAGACATACGTGTGCATGCGCATGCGTGTGCGTGTACCGGCCCAGCTGATGCTTAAACGTTTCCAGATCCTCTCTGCTGGAGTCCTTGGCTTGGGTGGATTGTGATTTTCCATCCACCTCCCTTTTTGAACTCCTCTAGCACAGAGCACATGGTCAGTAGGAGTTAGGCTAGCGGCTGCTTTTTTACCTTGCACTCACATTGGGTTTGATCCTCTGCTCCTCAGGGTCTCTGTCCCTGGAAGGAAGCCTGCTTGTCCCCCAGGTGAAGCCTGTAGGTATGTGCTGTGACTGCTGTCACTCACCCTCTACCCAAAAGACTCTCCTGCCTCCGCCTAGACTACCGTCTCCTGGGGAGAGCAGGCAGACGGCCCTTTGTGCTGATCTGAGAGACCTGGAAGAGAGTGAAGCGGTCACGACTGCTTGGATAGGCGTTGGCCAGGCTGGGCCACAGTGCTCGAACGAGGTAGCGGCAGGGTTGCAAGCTGGTGGCTGGTGGTAGTGGCAGGGTTGCAAGAGCCCCTGAGTAGTGATGTGGTGGGAACAAGGGTTGTGGGTTTCTCTGAGCTCTCTGTGGCAAGTGAACATTTTTCTTTGCTGTCCTGTGATTGCTGCACTGCCAGATTCAGATTTCCCAGGCTTTGGGTCTGATATCTGCAGCATTTGGCTTCCTTCCTGGGGGCTCCAGGGGCTTGGAGCTGATAAGTCACCTGTAGCATGCCGCTTGCCTGCAGCATGGGCCAAGCCTGCCGGCTCTATGCATAGCTGGCTGTCGGGGAGCGCAGGGGAAGGTGGCTTGCTAAGTGTGGGACTGAGATGAGAGATGGG